GCTTATAATTTATTACAAATAATTATAAGAATGGAATATTATATCCAATAAATAAAATACTCCGTTAAAGTTAACGAAATTATACACTGAATGACTATAATGAGATGAATTATAAGATTGAAGGATGAATATATGAAAATAGAGATATGAGGGACTAAACTGAAATTAAACAATAAAATGAGGGATTATGAGTGAGATTTGGCCCAATATCTTTTGCACCTTTCAGTATTACTTTGTACAGTAGATCTAACATTTTTCAAAAGTTTTAATCTAATAAAATGGAAATGGAATAGCCGTACATTCTAAAGCACATAGTCTTTTTTTTTTCCTTAATAAATTTAAATATAGTTACAAATCATGTCACAAATGGAAGAGTGCGGGGACGCATGACTCAGACAAAAAGTTAGATGCTACATTTGGTTATTCATACTGAGTGAATCTGAATCGTAGATCTACACGTTCACACAGTTATATATGCGTGTAATTAGTGAGTAGTTATTTAATAAAATCTACGGTTCAAATTCACTATAGACGTCATTTAAGGCTAGGTAGATATGAGAACTATAAATTAAAGGGGTTAATTTGCATACCCCAAGCCCAAATCAAACTTTGATATACCCTCTGAGAAGCGAAAGTACTATACTATATGTAATTTTCGGCTAAACTGCATTCAACATTTCTGATCCTACATTTATTATTTTCGCTGATTTATTTATTATTATTTTTCTTTTTTTTTTTAATAATAAACATGTTTGTTATATATATATATATATATATATATATATATATATATATATATATATATATATATATATATATATATATATATATATATATATATATATATATATATATATATATATATATATATATATATATATATATATATATATATATATATATATATATATATGTTTACTGTACTGAAAATAACTACATGTAACTATAGTAATTCTTAGTTATGTTCGTTTTTTTACCCCATATTTTTAGTCGATCAATTGTATACAGACACGAATATTGACTTATACAAAAGAAATTCATAAACCCCAACAAAAATTTACAAATTTCAATATTTTTACTATAAATCACCTCAGAATCAATAAAATACAAATCGAAAATACACAAATATATGCATATGTAACTACATGTTACTATATGCATAGTAATGTATAGTAATGTATACAGTTTGTTGAACACTGTTTCACATGTAACTTTCAACCAAATTTTTGACACCTTCAAGGAGAGGAGCAATGGCTTTCATTAAGCTGCAATTGCAAAATCAAAACAAAAAAAGATTACTTTAGTGCAAATCAACAAAATTTGAAGAAACATCAAAACACTCAAAAATCATCAAACACTAAGGAATCGAGAGATAGAGAGAGAGGTTATTGCTGGGAAATGCTACAGATTTTAAATCATACAGACAGTGACTCCTCACCCCCCTTGCCTCCTACCAAAACCCTAGCCGCCGTAGATAACGACCCACGGTTCCGCGCGCCCACAAATGCAAAAAAATATAGAAATAAATCTGAAAACATAAAAATAAACGAAATTACCATCAAAATATAGATCTCGACGAGAGGAATCCAACGGTGAGTAGCCCGTCAAATTTTGACTGGTGGAACACAAAATACACCTCCGACAAGACCACTGTCGTCGAATGAAAAAACATTGCAGAAACAGATCAGCGTTCCAAACTGAATGAAATCACCACCAAAAGAAAGAGCTCGACGAGAGGAATCCAACGGTAGTTAAACAATCGAATTCCGACCAACGGAGAGAGAGAGCTATGACTCCGGGAAGCAATTTCGCCGGTTGGAAATATATGGAGGCGGGATTTTGAATGTGGGAGAAGAAGAGAGAGATGATTGTGAGTGACTAGGGTTTAAAACTGATTTTAAAAGGGTATCATATGGACTTCAGAGTGGTCGAGGGAGATAAGTCCAAATATTTTTGAAATAAGGAGAATTTCCCCTAGCTAGAATGTAATCTACTTGGTAGTTAGTTCTATAAAATTGACAAATGAAGAAGTCTACAAAATAATCCCTAAATGAAAGTAGAAAGTTACGTAGAGATAAAAAATGTTATACTGTAAAGTAGTATTGGATATGACATTTTCATTACGAAATATAATATCGAAGAATGGAAAGCAGATCCTTGCTATGTGCATGCATGGAAATTATGTAGTTAAAAATTGTTCATTGCAAAAATAATTGAAATGGTAAATTCAATTCAATTTTACTAATTCAATTTTGACTTCAAACGTGATTTTGACCACTTTCTAGTTTGAATTTGACAAAACTTAGTTTATCAAACTTGCAGTTCTTTGTGTTAGATTTATAATCCAACTTAAAGGAGTCGAAATTAGAATCATGCATGAATTAGTTATATTTTGAATTTTAGATATCTCAATACATCAAAGTCGTAGATAATGTTTATGCATCCGTACATATATATGTTTCTCACTATACATCTAGTCTAGCCGATTCAAGTTGAATATAAAACCCACTTTGGGGTTTATAAATTCTGTGTTTTAATTTTTGCCAAATTCATACTCGAAAACAGTCGAAATCAACTTTGAAATAAAAAAGGTACTAGTAAAACTGAAACGGTATTTATGACTATTGAAGATATTAATATTAAGTGATAAAATTTCACCAACAACTTAAATTTTCAATTGAGATAATCATTCAACATAGTATCATAGTCAGGCCAAATAATTGTCCTGGGTTCTAAATGATACATTTCACTAACTTAAACTTTTAACATAGTATCAAATAAAATATCTTTAAGTATGATACAAACTTAACCTTTTAGTTGAAATGATTTTTCAATAATAACATCCCAATCAATAAATGATGAAATTACCTTTAACCTTTAAGTATGATACAAACTTAACCTTTTAGTTGAAATGATTTTTCAATAATAACATCCCAATCAATAAATGATGAAATTACCTTTAATAAATTAATAGTTCTGTATAATTGCAAATGTTTACATTATGTGGAATGACTATGCACAATCTCTGCTAAATAATTAATCAAGTTAAGCAAATATTGTTTCGCTAAATTCACAATATAATGTCCCACCTCACTTCGAATGATTGCTAGTATAGTACTCACCCATACGATCCTACGGTGATATTAATCATAAAAGTGAGGATGAAATCAAATATTTGATTAGATAAAAGTCCTCCAAATAGTAAGATAAAAAGTTGATATGCAATACAAAGTAGTAGAAAAATATAAAGAAAAAACGACTTCATTTGTTGTCGATAATTAATTAAAGTCGAAATAGGTGAAAATGATGAATATCAAAAAATAAAATTCCGTGGACAAGAGATACTATTACTATTACTATTACGGATAACCCCTGTGGTAAGACTAAATAACTTACAGACCCTTCTGATATTGGTAATTACAACAATACCCCATAAAACTAATAACCCGTTATAAACCATAACGGAATGAATGAATTGTTTAAATTTACCATTTTATTAAACAAACAAACTATGGGTAAATTACGGGTACCCTCTTGAAGTAAGATTAAATATTACATTTACCCCCTCTGGGATATTACTTTTGCCCCTTGGGGGTATATTTGAAAATTCATAACGAATATTTCATGGAATCTTCAAGATTCCGTTACTCATAACTCTATAAGGGTATAATTGTAACTAATAGAAATAACTCTATTTATAATTACCAATACCGTAGGAGTTTGTAAGTTATTTAATCTTACCTCAACGTTGCCAATAATTTACGCTTACTATTTATATTACTATTACTATTAATATTAGTGATACTGAATACGGAAGGGCGTTTGGTTAAGTTGGGAAAGTAGCATCGGTCATCACCATTGAACATAGAGGAGTGCTGAATAATAATAAGGGTAAATTACAAACACCCCCCTGAGGTATGGTCAAATTACAAAAAACACCCCTCTTGTTTGGATAATTACAACAACCCCTCAACTCCTCAAATTTAGTGGAATCTTCAAGATTATATGGAATATTATCACTTTTGTACCCGTTTTATCCCATTCAAACTCTACATTATGAAGCAAGATGATCATAATATGTGATTTTTAACTTGTATATATCAGTCTGTGGTGCATCGGAAACTGTATTTTTACACAAAACAAGTACAAACTAGAGCACATTTCGCGGAATCTAGATGATTATGTTGAATTTGGCACCATAAGGGTGGAGGTGTAAGAAAAAATCATAGTTGAGGGGGGTAGATGTAATAATCCAAACAAGAGGGGGGTTTTTGTAATTTGACCATACCTCAGGGGGGTGTTTGTAATTTACCCTAATAATAATAATAATAATAATAATAATAATAATAATAATAATAATAATAATAATAATAATAATAATAATAATAATAATAATAATAATAATAATAATAATAATAATAATATTATTATTATTATTATTACTATTATTATTATTATTAAGAGAGAGAGAGAGAGAGATAGATAGGGGATTTAACGTGGTCTCAGGATTGATTGAGCTTTTTACGTGAAACGTGATTATACAGATTTAATTAGTCAGAGGTTAAAGTAGTCACTTCAAATACATTATTAATTAATTTTTTTTTTATTTACTTAGAGGGGGTCTCACTAATATTGAAAAATGTTTTGCATCCAACTTAATATATGTAAATGTATTGGGGTTCTTGCTAATAATTCCTTTTAAATATAGGTGAAATATCTAAATTAAATAAAGTTGAAAACAATAAAAAAAAAAAAATTCCTTGTCCTTATAAAACCCTCCCTCCAAAAAATGATTAGAGAAAACCTCCTTACCTAATATCCTACCCAAATATTATTTAATAATTCCCAAACCACCCTTATTACCCCTAACTCATTGTCGTTCTCTCTTTTTTTTTTCCCGTCTTCTCGTCTTCTCTCTTCTGCCGTTCTCTCTTCTTCTTTTCTCGTCTTCCCTCTTCTCGTCTTCTCTCTTCTCTCTTCTCTTGGCAATTACCTCCGCCATGGATTATCGGTCAGAGGAAGATGCCTTTGTATTCACCACCCAACTGGCCATGGCGGCGGTGTTCCCAGCAGCACTCAAAACCGCCGTGGAGCTCGACCTTTTCGAGCTCATCAAGAATTCCAGCGCCGCCGTCTCTGCTCGGGAACTCGCCGCCCAGCTTCCCGCCGCCGCCAATCCCGACGCGCACGTCATGCTCAACAGAATCCTCCGCCTCCTCACCAGTTACTCTGTCCTAAATTCCAACCCCAGAAATCTCCCCGGCGGCGGCGTTGACTTGGTGTATTCTTTAGCTCCGGTTATTTATTTCATTCTTGTTAGGGATTGGTTGAATAGTGTATTGTGGCAGCGATGTGGTGACAATGGGGAGGCAGATTTAGGGTTTTTTGTTGGATTGGGCGGATAACGGCGCGTGTAGAGAATTTCGCGCAGACTGAAACCTTAATCGACTATGTACATATTCACAGTCGATTAAGCTAATCGACTATGTTCTGGTAGTCGATTAATTAAGGTTGATCGACTCCAATTTTTTTTTTTTTTAGTTTTTTTGGATTTTTTGAATATTGATTCCAATTGTATAAATCAATAATGTTTGTATATCTTTTGTTTTCGTAATATATAGGTGATTTTGCATTTTTTCGCAGATGTGATTTGTTATTTTTAGTAGCAGATTCTTAATCGACTATGCGCTGGTATCGATTAAGGTTGATCGACTCCAATCTTCTTTTGTTTTTTGGTTTTTTTGTTTATTGATTCCAATTGTAAAAATCAATTATAATGTTCTTATATTTTTGTTTTTTTGTAAAATATAGTTGATTTTGCATTTTTTAGCAGTTTTGATTTTTTATTTTTAGTAGCAGACTTTTGATCGACTATGCTTCATCATAGTCAATTAATAAACCTGATATAAAAAAATAAATTAAAGAACAATTTAAAAAAAAATTAAAAAAATTCCTTAATCGACTATGAAGCACAGTCGATTTAAGACTAATCGACTATGCTTCATAGTCGATTAAAAAAACGGAAAAAAAAAATTTCGCGGAGCGTGTGACCCAGTGATGAGGTGGCGGGCGGGGGTATAGCTGGAAAACATAGTGGCTGAAATTGGAAAATGGGCTTTTCTCAAATAATCTAAAATATTTTAGGCCTATCCCCATTAAAAAAAATAATGGGGGTTATGTCAAAGAGCCCCATTTTTTTAATATAAAGTATAAACCCATTAGATGTTAACGGAATATTAAGGGAATGATGATAGTGGGACAATTTTAGGATATAAAGGATGATATTGATGCATATTAAAGACTGAAAATTGGAACGATACAGAGAAGATTAGCATGGCCCCTGCGCAAGGATGACACGCATAAATCGAGAAATGGTCCAAATTTTTCCCGAGCTATCTCCCAAATGTCTCCTTCTAAGTCCCCCGGCCCTGATGGTCTTCCCGTTCTTTTTTATACTAAATATTGGCATATCCTTGGTGCTAGTGTTATTGAATGTGTGCTTGATTTTTTGAACAAAATAATTTTGCCAGCCCCTATTAATTTCACTTTCATTGTTTTGATCCCTAAAGTCTCTAAACCAGAGAAATGACTGAGTATCGTCCGATTAGTTTATGTAATGTTATATACAAATTTGGTTCCAAAGCCATTGCAAACAGAATTAAAATGGTGTTGAGCGACATCATTTCTCCTATACAATCTGCTTTTGTGCCGCAACGGTTAATAACCGATAGTGTGTTGGTTGCTTATGAGATAAACCATTTTATTAAAACTAACTCTAGAAAACGATCACGATTTATGGCTATGAAATTGGACACTAGTAAAGCACATGATCGAATTGAGTGGTGTTTCTTACGGAAAACTTTGTGTCGACTTGGTTTCCCACAATCTTTAATTGATCTTATAATGCAGTGTGTCTCTTCAGTATCTTATTCCTTTCTCTTTAATGGCTCTTAGTGTGGTTCGATTATTCCTTCTCGAGGTCTCCGTCAGGGTGACCCTTTGTCACCTTACTTGTTCATTATTTGCACAGAAGCTCTTATCGCGATGATCAACAAAGCAACGGAGAATGGGCTACTTGATCAGGGTATCAAGGTTGCTCCCACGGCGCCAATGGTATCAAGTCTTTGTTTTGCAGACGATACCTTGATCTTTTGCCAAACTTCTGAAGCAAACGCCCGCACTATAAAAAATATTGTCACTCAATATGCAAGCGCCTCGGGACAGGTGATTAATTTGGACAAATCAACTATGACCTTTTGCCCTCGTACGCAGCAGTGGGAGAAGGATCTAGTCCACTCGATCCTAGGATTTCAGATAGTGGAGAGACATGATAAATACCTAGGTCTTCCGGCTTCGATTGGCAAGACTCGTAAACAGATTTTTGGGTTCCTCCGAGATCGAACGTGGGCACGCATTAAGAGTTGGAATGCGAAACAATTCTCTAAAGCTGGAAAGGAGATCTTGATAAAAGCTGTGCTTCAAGCGATTCCATCGTATGTGATGTCTTGTTTCTTACTCCCCCAAGGTCTGCTCGTGGAAATAGAAGCCGCAATTCGACGCTTCTGGTGGGGTAACCAGAATGGGAAACCAATGGCGTGGATAGTCTGGAATAAATTGTGCAAGCCTAAAGAAGCGGGAGGAATTGGATTTCGTGATCTTCGGAGCTTTAACCTCGCCCTTATTGCAGAGCAAGCGTGGAGAATCGTCACAAAACCCGAGCTTCTACTGTCAAAAATCTGAAAGGCTCGGTACTTTCCCAATGGGGATTTCTGGACTTCTATCATCGGCCAACGCCCATCTACTACGTGGCGGAGCATTCTTTCGGCACGGTCACACCTCAAGGAAGGGATACGAGTCCGCATTGGTGACGGAACCTCAACGGCGATATGGGGAGATCCTTGGTTAATGGGTGAAGGCAGGTCGACGATTCTTACCCAAGACCTATTCACTCGGATTTTCCAAATTCAGTTTCAGACATTATTGATGTTCACACGGGTTGCTGGAACTTAGAGTTAATCAACAATTTTTTTTGGCCGGTGGACAAACATTGTATCTTGAGTGTTCCCATTGGGGGACCACTGGCCAAGGATAAACTGGTTTGGCGATTCACGGACACAGGAACTTTCACCGTTAAAACATGTTATCATTTCATTTTAGAGCGAATGGTTGCTCGAGACGATTCGGACAATAAAAGTGTGGGAGGGTCCAGCGGTGTAACTGATCAACAAAATTGGAAGATGATTTGGAACCTGCCCATTCCACCCAAGATTCGTGTTTTCCTTTGGCAAGCTTGCTCCGCATCTCTGCCAAACAAGGTCGAACTATTCCGCCGGAAAATTACATCAGAACCCACATGCGTTATCTGCGGCGATGAGATGGAAACCACTCTTCACAGCATTTATGGGTGTCGTGACTTGAAGAACATCTGGGTAGGTATGCCATTTCAGATTCGAAGTGTGGAAGCGAATAGTTCATTCTGGAGTTGGCTGGAACTGCTCAAACGCACCTTGACCAAAGAAAACTTCTTGCTAGCTGTTGTGCTCTGTTGGAAATTGTGGGACCGAAGGAATCGAATTATTCATCGTGAGGACTATATGGAATTGAACGATTTAGTGGGTTGGTGCAGTTCCACCCTGGCAGCTTTCCGCGACGCTCAAGTCCGAAGTTTCACTATCTCCAAACGTGCTCATCCGGAAGTTTGGAAGCCCCCTCCGTGGGGAGTTTTAAAGATTAATGTTGACGCCTCGCTCCAGAAGGAATCTACATATTACAATACCTCATTGGTTGCAAGAGACTCCAACGGCAATTGCATCTGGTGGAGGGTCAGGAAGCTTCCGGGTCGTGTGAGACCGGTAGAGGGTGAAGCTCAAGCAGTTAGACAAGCACTCCTCACAGCCCGCGCTCTCAATTGGAACACAATCATAGTGGAAGGGGATTGTTTGCTGGTAATGGAAGCCTTGCAAGGTAAGGCCCAATCTTTTTCGTCTTACTGTGCTATCCTGGAAGATTGTTTAGTTTTGGCTCGTTCATTTTCTTTTTGTTCCTTTTCTTTTGTTAAGAGACACGACAATTGTCGTGCTCACAATTTAGCGTCCTTGCATGTTTCGGACTACGTTGAAGGGACTTCCTTACCTTCTCATTTGGCCATGAGTGCCTAATATATTCTCGATTTATTTAAAAAAAAAAAAAAGACTGAAAATCTGTCATATTTGTTGAATTGTATCTTTCTTCTATTAATAGTTATATTTCCAATGTTTTTATTTTTTATTTTCCTATGAAATTAATTTGATGCCTTTTATTTCAAACCCATTTCTCCAAATCTGAAACGATAGAAGCATTTTTGCATGCCATGACTCGAATTCATGGGTAACGGCATCTACCACGAGCTGCACATAAAACACAAATTATGAGCACCCTATATATAATTTCCAAAGCATGTAAATAATGAATATATTTGAATTCATTTATTTTGTAATATTGAGTATTAAAGCTTCAAGAACTAATTTAGGTACGCATATTTAGTATAATTATAAACTATGACAACATTTTTCAATTATGCCAATGTATACATGCAAACGAGTTCATGATCGGTATATCTTATATATAAAAGAAAGAAACGCTGGGCAATCCTAAAAAACCCTAATGGTATTTCTGTAATTATTTGTTTTTAATATTTTTTATGTACTAATTTTCAACAATTATCAATCTCCTATTTTTCATCAATATATCTCAAATCTTAATAGTTAAATCTAAACTTACATATTTGGATTATAAATCTTAATATGTAAGATTTTAAAAAAACTAATGTTATATATAAAATATGAATAATACTACATTATTAAATTTTACTATGTAAATATACTATATTTTCTTATTATGTATTAAATTATAAAAAAAAATATTCACTTTTGAATCCCGTGCATCGCACAAGGCAAAAAAAATGCTAGTTAGTATAAATTGGCCTTGTTATAGTACATATTGGACACAATTTATTATTTAATTATTTAGTGTTATTTTTTTTTTGGAAATATAATCTCTTTCGAAGATTAAATTAAGAACTCACTTATTTAGAAAGAAAACAAACTGAATTATTATATAAATGGAGGATTATTATTTATTAGTGATCAAGACACAACCCCATACAGTCCAAATTTTAATGTTGAAAGTTGAAACCAACCGAATTATTATTATTATTAATTTTTTTTTTTATTTAATACTAACTAAACACTATATTAGATATATTACAATCTTCCATGCCATAATCATAATATATAAATAGTAAGTCAAATTATGCAATATTATAAATAGTATAATCTTATCCAATTTAATCGATCTAATTAATCAATCTTATCAATATCCTCGCATCTCAATAAAAAAATTTATTAGAAAATAAACTATATATATTAAGATTTATCATGAAATTTATATCAACTATGCATACTGCATGCAATTATTAGAGAATGCCGGTATTTAATTTGTGAAAAAAAATATAAATCTTATTTTTAATTAAAAGATGATTGTAAATTTTAAAGTTAGTTTTTTTTTTTTCTTAATATATATATATATAAGTAATTCGATCAATAACAACGTAATTCTTACATGGATTATCGTAGATTATTTTGCCAAGAGTTTTGGAGCACACAAGTGTCTTCTTATAATCCCAATTGAGGAGGTACGAAGCGTGCTTTTTCGCTCTATTCTTTTTATTACAGCACGATGACCTGATATAACAAGGACCTCCAGGTTGTATCGAAGTACAAGTTTGTACTTTACATGTTTCCTTTACGTACGTTTCCAAGAGTGTAGTAGAAACGTCGTCTCTCGCCACACACCATTTGAAGTTTGTCGATGTAAGAACATCGTCATCTGCCTGAAATCAAGGTTTCAAAAATATAGTTAGTGTCGATTAAATTCAAATCGTTTTACAAATGAGATGGAAAAAATATATATAGTTAGCTACAAAAAGAGATCCGTACGTAGTTTATCTTACCCTACAAATAACAACGCAAACTAACAGACATAAGAGACGCAAGACACTCGTCGTTTTTGCCATGATAACTCTTAGTTCTTAATATCTAGATGTTTGGTTTGATGATACCCTAATTTTATATCTAGAATTAATCACGTTCTTGTGTCGAAAAGATTCAGAATACACAATCACTTGTGAATGAATGGAAAATTCTATTAATTAATTTTGTTCTTTCTAAAAAAACATGTAATTAAATTTCCATATATATTTATTTCTCTTTGCTACCAAGTTGCATTGGAAAACATGGGCAATTCTATTGAATAAATGATCTTCATATCTTTTGAACCTTTTAGAACTGGTTTTATTAAACAAAGTACAGGCATGTAGTCTAAAGCAGAAAGTTTTTTCTTTTTCTTTTCCACAATCAACATTTTTTTCTCGTGCGATGCACGGGATCGTATTTTAAAAGTGAAGAAAAATGATCAATTAATACATAACAAAAAAATATAATAGGAGATTAAAGTTAGAAGGATCCTTCACGGTTCAGTTTCAATTTTAATAATTGTTGAAAAATATAATTATTAAGTTATTAAAAAAAATATTAAAAATAAATAATTACAAAAATACCATTAGAGTTTCTTGGAATAAGTGATGTTTATATCTTTTGAACTTTTTAGTACTGGTTTTAATAAACAACGGATATGCATGCATTCTATAGCAGAAAGTTTTTTCTTTTTTTCAACGACTATCATTTTTTTCCCATGCGATGCACGTGATCGTATTTTAAAAGTGAAAAAAAAACGATTAATTTAATACATAATAAAACATATAATAGGAGATTAAAGCTGGAAGGATTACTCACGGTTCAGTTTCAATTTTGATAATTGTTGAAAAATATAGTTAGAAAATTAGTACAGAAAAAATATTAAAAATAAATAATTACAGAAATGGCATTACGGCTTCTTAGGGTTGCCCCAACGTTCTTTGCTTTATGTATACAGATAAATTCAAAGTCAGTTACAAATGGTATTTGAAATTTTGAACCCTAAACTTAGACACTAATAGTGAACTCTAATACCAACATCAATAATCGTAACTAGAAAGTTACTTAAAGGCCAAGGTGGTATGTGCAAAAGTTTATTCAAAGACAAAAGTTAGTAAGTGAGTATTGAATGTTTATTTCTGAAAATTGTGGTTGTTCGTAAATATTTTAGAAAATGAACTTAAATTGAAAAAATAGATCCATTGGTGCTTTTGAAAAAAATTAGTTTAAAACAATTTATTTTAAAGAAGCACAAGCAAAAGTTAATTTAACAAACACTATAAAACAGATTATGAGTAAAAAAAGATTATAATTTATTTTTAAAAGATTTTGCAAACACCACTTAAACGTAATATTGTAAAGTTGTAATTTTTTAAAAAAAAATTTTTTTAATATTTTTTTTAATATTTTTCTTTAAATATTCATTTTCTATATTATTTTAGTTTTCAGTTAAAACAACTATATGCCAATCAAACGACTATTATTAAAACGACTATTATAAAACGACTATTATTAAAATAATTGGTATTAAAACAATGATACATCAGTTTCACAATTTATTAAATTAATTATATATTATATTATTTCCATTGTAAGATTAACTAATTATTTAATTAAAACATTTCCAAAACAACTATTTGTTAAATGAACTATTTATTCAAATAAACTAAGAAGTAATGAAAACAATAACATTGTTGTGCAAAAAAAACTATATTGCTATACGAAAAC